ATAGATATGACCGTGTTGCAGGAAGTGTGTCACCATGGAGGAAGGTTTTGAGGTCTAATATGCTCAATCTGCTCTCAGTGGCACAGTTCACTTCCTGTTGCCTGCAAATCAAGATGTAGAACTTTCAGCTCCTTCTCTAGCACTATGTCTGCCTGCATGATACCATGTCCTGCCGTGATTGAGAATGGACTAAACTTCTGAACTATAAGCCAGCCCAATTAAATGTTTTCCTTTATAAGAGTTGCCATGATGACTGGTTGTTGGTGGCGCATGCCTTTAATTCCAGCACTCAGGAGGCAGAGGCCAGTGGATCTCTGTGAGTTTGAGGCCAGTCTGGTCTACAGAGCTACTTCCAGGACAGCCTCCAAAACAATACAGAAATACCCTGTCTCGAAAAACCAAAAAAAAAAAAAAAAAAAAAAAAAAAAAGAGTTGCCATGGTCATGGTGTCTCTTCACAGCAGTGGAAAACCCAACTAAGACACACAGGGTCCAAATACCCATTCTGAGGGCTTTTGATAAATATATGCATTTGGTATCTGTATTTAAGAATTAAAAATCTAATTTAAATAAATTTTTTCATACAAGAATTATTGTACATTGAACATAGGCTCCTCTCCCCAGCCTTCCTCATTTGTCCCCTGTGCTGGGACATTTCCTTCCACTTTCATTTTATGTAAGTGTACATGGGATTGTGGAGCTACACCAAACCTAGGAATCACAAATAAGAGAAACACACACAATATTTCCTGAGACTGGCTTACCTCACCAAATACTATTATTCCCAGCTGCATCCACCTTTCTGAAAATGAAGTAACTTCATTCTTCTTTTTATTCTTTATTTATCATGTATGTACATGCACCAAGCATCAGTATGTAGGACAGAGGACAATTTACAGGAGTTTTTTTCTCTTTCTATCATGTGGGATCTGGGGATCAAACTCGGGCCATAAGGCTTGGTGGCAGATGTTTTAATTGCTGAGACATCTTGCCAGCCCCAGACTCATTCTTTATGGATGAAAAAAAATTCCATTGGGTGTATGTCACACATTTTCTTTAACCATTCCTTTGTTTTGGACGCATAGGTTGGTTCAATAACTTACTGTTGTGAATAGTGCTACAATAAACATTGATGGCTAAGAATCTCTGGGGGAGCCGGGCATTGGTGGTGCAAGCCTTTAGTCCCAGCACTGGGGAGACAGAGGCAGGCGGATCTCTGTGAGTTCGAGGCCAGCCTGGTCTACAAAGTGAGTTCCAGGACAGCCTCCAAAGTTACAGAGAAACCCTGTCTCGAAAAACCAAAAAAAAAAAAAAAAAAAAAAAAGAAAGAAAGAAAAAAGAATCTCTGGGGGGGAATTGATTTGTAGTCCTTTGTGTAAATACCCAGGAATGGTACAGCTGGATCATATAGTAAATATGATTTTAGTTTTTTAAACTCATATTGGTTTCTGTAGTTGCTGGACTACATCCCTACCAGCAATGTCTATATGAATTAACTTTTGTCCACAATTCTGTCAGCATTTGCTGTTATTTGATTTCTTCATGACTGACATTCTAATTGGGGTAAGGTAGATTCTCAAGGTAGATTTGATTTTCATTTCTCTGGTGGCTTCTGAAATTAGGCATTTAAAAATGGGCTTGTTGGTCATTTGTATTTCATCTTTTGACGACCACCTGTTCATTCCATTGGCCCATTTGTTGACTTGGGTTATTGAGCTCTTTGTATATTCTAGACATTCATATTTTGTCAGGTTACTAGCTAGAAAAGATTTTCTCTGATTCTGTAGGCTGTGTTTTCACTTGGTTTGCTATTTCTTTTGCTGTACAGAAACTTTTTAGTTCTATGAAGTCCCATTGTCATTTGAGAAAACCAACCTTATTTATTGAGAAGCTGGGTCTTCCTATGAAAGTCATTGCCTGGGCCCATGTCTTGAAGAGATGTCCTTACATTTTTCCTTGCAGTCTCATGTTGAAGTCTTTGATACATTCAGAATGAGTTTTTAGTCATTTTGAGAGATATGGCTCTAGCTTCATTTTCCTACGTGTGAGTATCCAGGTTTACCAGCACTATCTTTAGAAGATGGTCTTCTTCCACTCATGTGTATTTTGGGGGGGTTTGTGAAAAATAAGGTGTCTATTGCTCTGTGGTTTTCCATCTGGATCTCCTATCTCTTCAGCCTATATCTCTCATATCCTATCAAAGGTTGTGAAAAAGAAAGAAAAAGGCAAGAAGGGAGTCTAACCTCTCAGAAAAGGCTTCAAAGAATTTATAACTTGATTTTTGAACAGTTGGTAATCCTGTATTATTGTAGATACATTGAATCTTTTACAAAAGTAGCCCCTCTTCATGGTCACTGGAAAATAAGGAAATATCCTGAATTTGTGAGGATTGGATTGACAAGCATTTTTGTAGAAATCTAGGTGCTGAATATCTTTAGTTTTCTGAATCACAGTCTTTTAACAACATCCCTCTGTAGCTCTTGTGCCCAGACAGCCTGGACAATGCATAAACAGATGGGCGTGGTTGTTTGCCAATAAAACTTTATTTACATAACCAGGTGTTGGACTGGATTTGGCTCAGAGGCTCTGGTTTGCTGATGTCTGCTGTAGGACACAGAAGAGATGCTTGGGAAGATTGGTTTCTGTAGTAACTTAAAAACAGACAAGAAAGGATGCTTTTTATTCCCCCACACCAGTGTTTTACAAGTAAACTTGGCTTCTCACTGCCTTGGGTGGGTCAAATGATTGATTTTGCAGAAGTTATTTGTCTGTTCTGCAAGTTTTTATTTTTACTGAAAGGATGGCATCCTTGGGATATTTAGACCGTATGGTGGAGAGTCTCAGGGTAGTCTTTAGGACTGACTTATTCTTTTACTCACTGTTAGAAAGATCATAGAACTATTGTTTGAAGTCATTCCTTTAACTGCACCAGTTGTTTTCAATCAGTGTGAACACTTTCTTGTTTCTCATTTCTGACAATAAGGTAACTCATCAAATGCTACTAACTACTAGTATAACTTAGTAATATGTTGGATATTTTAGGATCTAATTTCTAGGCTTAGATTAACACAGTTGATGTCTGGAAAGGTGTTCTTGAAGCATATTTTCAGAAATTAAACACATATGTATTTTAATGAGGTGTAACCTAGATAGTCTGCTGGGCTCAAGCAATCTTCCTGCCTCACCCTCCTGGGGAGCTGGGACCACAGGTGTGCACCTATGCTTCAGGTCTAAGCAAACTGACTGAAATTTATAGTAGAACAGAAGCATTAAGAAGGAACATCCATGAAGGATCAGGAAGATGGAGTCAGGGGATGAATAGAGGAGTTCAAAAAAAGAGATACCATAATAGAGGGAGCCATTGTAGGTTTAAAGAGAAATCTGGCACTAGGGAAATGTCCAGAAATCCACAAGGATGACCCCAACTAAGAATCTAAGCAGTAGTGGAGGGTCTATCTTAAATGCCCTTCTCCTATAATGAGATTGATAGTTACCTTAAATGCCATCCTAGAGCCTTCATCCAGTAGCTGATGGAAGCAGAAGCAGACACCCACAGCCACTGAACCAAACTCCTGGAATCCAGTTGTAGAGATGGAGAAGTGATGAGCAAAGGGGTCAAGATCATGCTGGCAAAACTCACAGAAACAGCTGAGCTGAGCAAGTGGGAGCTCATGGACCCCAGCCAGACAGCTGGGGAACCAGCATAGGACCAAATCAGGCCTCCTGAGTGGGGGTGACAGTTAGGAGGCCTGGGCAGTCTATGGGGCCTCTTGAAGTGCAACCAGTATTTATTCCTTTTGCACGAATGGACTTTGGGAGCCCATTCCCCCATGGAGGGATACTCTCTCAGCCTAAATAAATACATGGGGGAGGGCCTAGGCCCTGCCCCAAATGATGTGACAGACCTTGATGATCCCCTCAGTCTCCCTGGTGAATGGACAGTGAGTGGGATGGGGTTGGTGGGAGGCATGGGAGAGGGAACTGGAATTGATATGTAAAATATGATTGTTTATAATTTTTAAAAAATCAAGGGCTGGAGAGATGGCTCAGAGGTTAAGAGCTCTTCCAGAGGTCCTGAGTTCAATTCCCAGCAGCCACATGGTGGCTCACAACCATCTACAACTCAATCTGGTGCCCTCTTCTGGCATGTAGGCAGAACACTGTATATGTAATAAATAAATAAATCTTTTAAAAAATCAAATGGTAAAAACGAAGGAACATTATTTGGAATGAGAGCCAGGAAGGGGATGGACAGATGGGGCATTGGATTCCATCGGGGACCTACCATGGCTTCCTAGCTGTGAAACCTCACATACTCCTTTTGGCTCAAGCCAGTCAGGAAGTACGTGTGCCACCTGCAGCCCGAAGAGTCTGGCAATGCAGAGGACTTTGCATGACGGTTAGGATTTGAAGCAGTGGCTGTGGACTAAGACACCCCATGTCAGGGTAGGCCTGGGAGCTGGCAAAGGGAAGGGCACGAGGCACAGATGTGGATGTAGTTGAGAAAATCATTTGTCCCAGGAATTTGGAGATTTTGCTATTGTTGGAAACTGGAGTGGAAAGGAACAGAGGTAGAAGAGGCCGTTCTCGGAGCCAAGCCCAAAGCCTCACAATCCCTTACCGTGCTTAGATTCCATCCCGTAGACTGTAGGGAACCACTGAAGGATCCCAAGCACGGAAGTAAGACAAGCAGATTGGAGGGCTGGAGGATTGTTCTACAGGAGGCAGGAAGCACCTGGAATGGGGCGGGAGCTTCAATGATAGGTTGCTGGCTGCTGCCATGATGAGAACTGATGCCATCTGGAGACAGAGAGCGCTGGTGGGGGAATGGAGGAAAGAGAACAAAGGACTAAGGAAGGAAAGTTACCTGGGGTGATAGTGACTGACTGAAGACAGTAAGAGAAGAGGGGAGGATCTAGGATGACCCAGTTTCTGGGTTGAATAGCTGTGTGGGCAAAGATGGTAATCACAGAAAAGAAGGACAATTATGTAGGAAAGAAGGGGATATGGGTGGAGCGGCCTTCTGTGGAGGAGGGGCAGTGGGCAGGTTCAAGTCTAACGTAGCAAGTGAAAGCCTGGAGATTTAACTAAAAGACGTCTGTGCTACGAGAATGCGTGCGTGTGTGTGCCTTTATCATTTGTGCTAAGAGAATGCATGTGTGTCTCTGTGTTGCAAAGAGGGAGCAGTCTGATATACAGACTTACAGCACAGTGGAGAAACCCCCGGTGTAAGAGTCCGTGTTTTCCTCGTACTAGATGTTGATGTCAGTGGGGCAAGGCCCTGGCTGTAAGCCTGGACTAGAGAACAGGATGCACCTGTGGTTATCAGCTGACAAGCAATGCACAGAGATCCATGGGGACTGGGACCCAACAGGCAGGAGCTTGAGCTGGGCCAGGTTGAGATTCAGGTGTGTGTGGTTATGTAGTTGATTTGAGCTGGAGACGTTTGGATGAGCAGATGGTGAAAATACTCAGCAAGACTTTGCATGGTCCTGACCCTTGGGACAAAGCCACTTAGGATTGTGTTTTGAAGGTGCATAAAAAGAGGAAAGAGAGAGAGAGAAAAAGGTAGACATGTGCGTGGCTAATGAAAAGGTGAAATAATTCTGTGGAGTGGGTAGGTCACATGATATGCCAGCACAGTGTACCACAGGGAGGTGTCTAAGGCTGTAAGGGATAGCCCCATGAAAATGGGTAATCAGTGGCCAGAACCGGTTTCAGGTGGCTATGGGAAGGACACCTAGACTGCAGAGAGTGGAGGAGGAGGACCTGTAGGTAACACCTGTAGGCTTCACTTCACTTATACTTTAAGGGATGAGGAAAAGTAGCTTGGAGCACACAGGGCCCCAAGGAAGAGAGTCCCTGAAAGCTGGGGGTCCCTATGAAGGAAGCGGAAGGAAGGAAGGCAACCGATGGAGCAAAGGACCAAGAGAAAGAAGGGCAGTGTCTGGAGAAGGCAGGAAGCAGGTGAGTGGATGTGTATGCAGTGAAGTAATCTCCATGGTTACTCTATCTGGTCCTGTGACTATACTCAGTACCCTGCAGAATGTGGGCATGCTAGGTACAGTCTGTGACACATTATCTGGAGAAAAGCGTTATCTGGAGAAAGTAGATCCCACTCCGCAGTTGCCAGTAGGTAACAAAGGGCAAGAGTCTGGACAGGAACGGCAGGAATGTGGCTTTGTCAACACTCGCCCATGCTCTCTCTTCCTGACCCATGATCAGCAATAATCGTGGTGTCTTTTCTGTGTTCATTCTTGAGCTCAGGATTCATTCCAGGGCTGAAGGCAGCCTTTCACAGTTTACAAGAGTTGGCATTTCATCTGAACATTGTTTGTGATCCTTGGACTGTGGTAAAAATGACAAGCACCATAAGAACTTGAAGAAAGTTAATTGTTTCTGAGTCAATTGTATGTTCTTCAGAGATGAGGGTGGTATGTTCTTCAGAATAGTCCACATTATTATAAGCAAAGGCTCAATGAGGGCTTGTGGAATTTCACAATTTTAATTTATCCTGCAGGTCAGTTTTGTGTATGCGAGCATGTTGCTGTTGTGGCCATTTTGTGAGTGTTGAGAAAAGGCATAGTCTTTTTTTTTTTTCCCAAGGAGTTTGTGTCCACACGACAGCTTTTCCAACTCTACAACTTAAACTCGGTTCTTTTGTTCTTATGGAAGATGGGAAGCAGCTGGTCATGATCCTTGGCTAATGTGTGTTAAATCCCTTCTTAAAAAGAACATCCACACTTGGGGGCATCATGCTAAGGGAAATAAGCAGGTTGCTGAAGCTTAAATCCTGTGTGATTCCACTTTATGTGGTACCCTGAGCTGTCAACTTTGAGGAGACGGAAAGTGAGCTGTCAGAGGCTGGGGGGATTGGAATGATGGTTCCAGCTATCTAAGGCGAAGAGAGTGTGGTGGGCGACAACATAATAAATGTACATATGCCTTGAACTTAATGCTTCCAACGGCTATGATGCTCTTCAGAATCCTTTGCGCGTGTAGAGAGGCATGTGATCTAGGGGTGTCATAGAAGCCGTCACCAAGCCGCCACATCTTTGGCAGAATTGTTTTCTCTGTTCCATTTGTTTCTCACCCTTCTTTGTGGTCCTTCTTCTGTCTTTTTCCAGACACTTCTGTTGCTCCTCTCTGGACCATCTTCAAGTTTTCCACAAACCAGATGTAGCTTATGCAGGATGGCCAAGCCAGTGTAGTGGGAAGGCTGGCTCAGATGACCAAGGATGCCCTGCCCCGCTTACTTTGCTAACAGCTGCAGTGTGGGGGCTGTGGCTTGTCCTAATCTATAGACGTGACTCTGTTCTTTCCACTATGCAGTTAGGATAGCTGAACCAAATGAATACCAATGAGCTCAAAGCTCACCATGGTCTTCGGTCTTTTCACCATACTCTAACATTGTCTTTATTTATTTATTTATTTATTTATTTATTTATTTTGGTTTTCTTAGTAACACAGCATATATGGACTCCTCAAAATTATGAATTCATGATTCACTCTGTCAGCGTGTTTTACAAATAAGACCTTTGTTGTTTGGTTAGGGCCTGCGACTCTGTAGTAGATCACCTGAATATACCAGAGCACTGATGTCTTCGTTGCTGCATTTTCTTCTTCCAGAAGCACTCCACTGAAAGTCTTTAATTTCCCATGTTCAGATAGGAGTTGTGGCTTCATTGGCAGTACCTTCCTTGCTAGTAAAGCAGCTCAAACAGCTTAGTTTTCAATAATTTTCCTTAGTTCTTACCTGGAGTTGAAGTCTTGGGACACTTGAATAGAAATTCTTATTATGTTTGTTTCATTTTGTTTAGTTTTTTTGTTTGAGACAGGGTCTCTCTATATAGTCCTGGCTGTCCTGGCCTGGAGCTCACTATATAGGACAGAGATCTACTTGCCTCTGCCTTTCAAGTGCTGGGATTAATGGCATGCACTACCATGCCTTGGGAATCCTTATTATGCTTCAGTCAGTTACTTCAAGGAAAAGAACCAAATGGCATAGTTATGCTCTTTCCCCATAATATATAGTATCATCACTGGTTCAGTTTGATGTCTGAGTGAGGGGTAGAGGACAAGGGTGGAGGAAATATTGAGTTAGAACGACATTTAAGATTTACCCATTACTTAAAAATATGCCATGAGCTGCAGCCTAAACTTTGGAGATCTCTTTGTAAGGAAACAAAGTCAAGCTGGTGCTGTGTTAACTGGCAACCGTGTGTGTGTGTGTGTGTGTGTGTGTGTGTGTGTGTGTGCGCGTGCGTGTTTCACGTCTGTAGTCACCTCTCAGAAGGTTCCTGTAGACCCTCTCCATGCCAGCAATATGCAGAGGTTTCTGCTGGTATGATCTGTGTGGTGTATGGCTGTGCATCCTGTCTGTGGTCTTACATTCAGTTATGGCTCTGGTTTCGGTAGGCCAATAACATCATAGGCCTTCAGTGGTGTTGAATCTGTACCAGAATTTAAAATTTCACGGGTGCTGAAAAGCAGCACTAGAGGAAGTGAGAAGGATGTCAGAGGCGACATCTGTGGTCGGCCCAAGTTCTGCCCTGCAGGATGGGAAGTTAGATGTCACTGATTTATCGAAACTGATGTTGGTCTGGAGCCCCATGCCCAGCTGGCGCCATGCTGTCTGCTGGCCTTCTTCATTTGGCTTCGTATTTCTTGGATGACCCATGTGTTTTGGACAGTATACTGCCTGTGTGGCAGAGTTCAGTGGTGCTGTTTGGCTCTGAGTTACCAAAAAAGCATTGCTGACCAAGCCTTGACATGAGCTGGGTGGCCATAGCCGGCCTTAGGTGTCAGACCCTGTTAGCAGGATATTGCGCTAAATGGACCTAGACTGCTTGTTTATCTTCTACTCCATATACAGTCAACCCAACAGAGTAACTACTGCTACCAGCACAGTCTTACTAGTCTAAGGATAAAGCTGTGTTCCTGGAGTGTGGGAATGCGCAGTCAAACTTATACCTCCTTTGGAGATGCCATCATAGTTATGAAAGTCTTTTGCAGTGTCCTGGAACAGGTGGAATCAGACAGTGCTGGGGAGGATTTCTCTGCTGGCAAATGCATCATAGAAACATATCATGGCCTCTACTACAATGTAGGGTGGTGAACATGATCCCAAAGTATGTATTGGTAGATGCCTGAGCTGATGGGACACACTTAATTAGTAGTCAATCAGGATCAGCTTGTGTGGAAAAGTTTCACAAAGGCCTGACACCATTGCTAGCCATTTCCTTCTTTCTGTCATGTAGCAAGGGTCCTACCCCCCCAGCTATTTTGTAGTCTGAAATTACAGTGTTTATTCATACTAAGACATGCACCCAGGAAACATTTCCCCTGAAATTCCTTGGAGGAAGGGAATATGGTTTCAGTCCCTGACAAGCACTCCATGGAGACAGACAGGAGGCTGCACGTCCCCCTCCTGTAGAATACAGCACTGTAGCTCCATGAAGTCCAGAGAGGGGAATTCAGGGTAGCTCACACATGGGAGCCTTTGGCTCAGGACACAGTTTCATGTAGGGACTTCTGCTAGATTCAACCCAGTCGGTTGGTTACCTGAGGGCTACAACACCTGTTTGTTTCAGGTCGATGTAGGTTTTGACGCTTCTGGGGGTGCGGGTGAGGAGGTAGGAGCCGAGGCACAGACGCATAAAAGACATCAGACGAGCTGCCATTCGGGGGTACAGTGTGGGGGAATCAGTAGGCCAGCTGCGACGTGCGAAGAAATAAGAAATGAGGAGCAAAAAGTGTTACTCTCCAATGCTTCTCAGGGTTGTCCTCATTCTTACTTTGTCCAGTGAGGCACAGAGAAGGGACAGGGGAGAAAACTGTCTTAGACTCGGGAGAGGAAGCAGGGCATGAGTGACTTGAGGGCGGCATTCAACAGCCTTAAAGCCCATGCGGATATGCATTCCCTTGGGAGGCACATCTGCTTCATGTGCTTTGGTTTTCTTCTATCTCCGTCCCTCTGTCCCTCTGTCCCTCCATCCCTCCGTCCCTCCCTCCCTCTGATTCATCAGTGTAATCGCAAAGAGTTGACATAGGTTTGACAGAGAGAAGAGAAGTAGGAGGCTCTCTTGTTTTCAGTTATTTCCTCCACCAGGATGAAAAGACTCTTTCTTAAGCATACTCGGGCTCTTTGCAAACATCAGTGGGAGCCCCGGACAGTGAAGGCATTGGGCGACAGTCAGGTATTGTATCCACAAAGCCTCTGGCCCAGCGGGCTGCAGGGGGTTTCATGGCTCTGTTGGGCCTCCCCCCTGGCCCACGTCTCTGTTTGAAGCGGCTGGGCCCACTGCCTCCACCTGGAAACTGATAAGACGAACTCTGTGGGCTCTCATCGTTTTCCAATACAAACAGAGAAGAATGCTGTCGTGTTGTGGTACAGGAGCTGCTGGCTGGCTGGGTCCCTAAAGAGTCAACATGGCCTCATTTCTGCCTCCTCTTGTGTTCCCAGGATGATTCTCGGCTCAAAACTAATAAAATTGATGTGTTCTTGTAAATTAACAAGTATAGACCCTCCCCCACATTCTTAAAACCTGATGTGCCAATTTTAAAACAGTCCCCTCTGCTTGGAAAGCAACTCCGGAGGCAGTTTGCAGAAAGTAGTTGTGACATTGTGGGCTTTGTTCATATTGAGGATAATTGTACTAGTACTGGCCCAGGACCGCTGTGAGTCAGGCTCTGTACTTGTTGGGATGGGACTGTGAAGGTCATCTACTCTAGAGACAGTTCCACACAAAAGGGAAGGACTCAGGCTAGTGTTGAGGCTATCGCAAAGATGAGTTGAACATTGACAGTGTGGAGTTAAAAACATCTGGCCTAAAATGCAGCATATAATTTCTCAAGGATTTCCTTTTTATCTCTTTGCTAGGAAAAGGACATTTCATATGAGAATTACTATTCTGAGTGGCTGTAATTACGGAAAGGCAAGCTCAGCTGACACAGCCTTGAGATTT